CATGACCTCCCAAAATATCCAAGTCTGAGTCCCTGGCACCTGTGAATGTTACCTTAGATGGCAGAAAGGTTTTTGCTGATATGATGGAATTAAGGACCTTGAGGGTCTTCCCTGGCAGAAGAGTGACTGAGACTCTGTGCTTCCACTATGAAGAGGATGGGTTTGATCCTTGGTTGGGGAACTAAGATCCTACATGCTGTGCAGCGTGGCCAAAATAAAAGAGTAAACCAAGGATCTTGAGATGGAGAGAGGAGCCCGGGCTACCCAGGTGGGTCTTATGTAATCACAGGTACCCTTAGAGCAAGAGGGAGGGAGAAAGAGACTTGAACACAGAAACGGAAGGCAGTGTGATGACAGAAGGAAGACTGCTGCTGGCTTTGAAGGAGGAAAAAGCTACAAGGCAAGGAATGCAAGGACTGCACATTCTAGAAGCTAGAAAAGGCAAGAAAACAGTCTCCTCTCAAGACTTGGAGGAAGCAGGGCCCTGTCAGCACCTTGACTTCAGCCCAGTGCAATGGATTTGGGGCTTCTGGGTTCCAGAACAGTAAGAGAACAATAGTATGTTGTTTTTAAGTCACTTGGCTTTTTCATGTGTTATTAATTTGCTACTGCAGCCGTGGGAAACTGTTTCTCCCTCTTACCTGTACGTGAGGGGCTTCCCTGCTGGCTCAGACAGTAAAGCATCTGAGCATCTGCCTGCATTGCAGCTGACCCAGGTTCAATCCCTGGGTCAGGAAGATCCCCTGGAGAAGGAAATGGCAACCCACTCCAGTACTCTTGCCTCGAAAATTCCATGGATGGAGGAGCCTGGTGGGCTACAGTCCCTGGGGCTGCAAAGAGTTGGACACAACTGAGTGACTTAACTTTCACTTTCACCTTGTACGTGAGAACACATTAATGATCTCTGCTCCTGTCTCCCACTTCAACTACTTTTTTGAGACCTACATAATTCTGCAGTGAAGTTCTTGAACCCCAGTAGGCTGGTGTGTGACTGAGGAGGGGGAGTGAGGCAGTAAGTACTTGGGGAAGGGTGTTGGCCATTTTCAGCTGTCTTTCTGGGGCTCCAGCAGAGTTGGGGTTCAGTGGCGAGCACACAGCACCTTGACAGTGGGCTGAGGGGATGTGCAGGCATGTGGAGCACTGAGACTGACTTCTCAGGGTCTCCCTCCTAGGATAGATAGCCATATAGATGTTTTAGTCTGGAGCAGTATACCTTCCCCCTTCTTCTGTTTTGGGGAACTCTGCTTCCCCACTTGATCTGGTCCTGGAAATTCAACCCACTGTAGTCCCTGCTCCCCAGTCAGGGTCTGGGATGTGACTCAAGCCAGGCCATTCAGATGATCCTCTGGGGCAGGGGTACTAAGAATCACTTGGAAGGATTGTTAAAACACAGATTGCTGGGGTTGCACCCCCAGAGTTTCTGATTCAGTAGTCTGGCCTGAGAGCTTCCGTTCCTGAGTTCCCAGGTGATGCTGGTACAGGGGCCACACTCTGAGAACTCCTGCTTTGGGATTTTGAGTGCCAGAAGGCAGAAGAGTGGTGGTGAGTGCAACCAAAACAGATGATTCATGACTTCCTAAATGACAACTCTGAATCTAATCTGGTTCTGGGCATTCCCAGGGTCTAGTTATTCTTCTTTTATCTCTCCAACTTTATGCTTAAGGTATCAATTTCTGGTATCTGTTGCTTGCAACCAAAGATCTCTAATGGATTGAACTTGCAAGGAACACTCTTGATAGGGGAAAGGGTGGGGCTCATGGAGCACCAGAGGTACAGAGGATAAGTTAGACATAATCTCTAACTGCCAAGACCATATCAATGTGGATCTTAATGATCATTCATAGAATGCCTGCTATGTGCCTTAAGGATGCTAGGAATTTTATGGCATCCTACCAGCCTTACAGTCATTCTAAAGGGAAGATATCTTTCCATTTATTTTTCATTTGATGATACAGAGGCCCAGGAATTTGCTATTTTATTGGGAACATATAAAATCAACATCATAATATTAGTGAATGGTAGGTAATACTGAGGAAAGGACAGTGGTTTCCTTCCTGTTAGCATATTTCTCCCCCTTTTTCATTTTCCCTGGGTGACTAATGGCCCCATTAGCCTGTCCCCACTGCCCTTTAAAATTCTTCTAAAGAGACAAAAAGAAACTGATTTTTTTGACCATCAAAATTAAGTATTTAACATTTTTCCCAGTCTGCTTTTCAAGTACTAGTTGCTCCAAGTATCCTAGAGAGATCAGAAGAGCCTTATTTGGCTTTTGACCTACAGGCAGATAAATAAAAACATGTTTGACCTTTGGAATTCATATGGAAAACATCTAGAATGAAGGGAGATGTTAGCTAAATGTTTGGGGGGGAAATAGATCATTTTATCTTTATTACAAAAAATACTTTATTGAGTGCTTCTAATGCCCTACACCACATCCTCTTGATTTGTTGTTTCCTTTAGTTGTGGCTGACTTCATGCATGGGTAACCTGACAGGTTAACTGCACAGAGTATCTCTTGCTTTCTGCCCCAGGGTATCTTTACTGCCTTGGTGTGGAACATCCATGGGAATCTGTTTACTTATATTCACCCTGGAAGTGACAGATTATGAAAAACCCGTGGTTTAACCTTTCTCTAATGGAGGATGAGTCAATGGAGAAATATTCCCTTCCAGTTCTTATTTCTTGGGAGAACAATCTTTAAGGCTCCTTAGAAGGTTCCAGTGAGATGAGTGGTCCACAGCAGGACCAACCCAAGAATGCTCTTTGGATTAGCTGTCCCTCCTTCCTTGCTTCTTGGTCCCTCATGCTTATTCTCTGGAATCACTCCTACAAAGAACCAGCTGCCTGAAACCTTGGGGTCTCAAGCTCAGCTTTCTGGGAGAACTCAGGCTAGGACAACATTTATTGTAGAAAATTAGAAAATACTGATAAAGACAGTAAATCACCCATAATTCTGTTCTCTCTAGAGATCTCTTTTGGTAAAATTTGGGTGTGTATTTTTTGTAATGCATACACTTGAAGAGATTTTGCCATACATATGGCTATGTATCCTGACTTGCTCTATTGTGAATATTTTCATATGGTTTTCTTCTCCAGTGTAATTTAATAGCTGCACAGTTTTTCATTTACTCACTTGTCATGTGTAATACTATGTGCCAGACACTGTATTGAGCACTGAAGACATCGCCATGAACAAATAGATCAGGTCTCTGCTCTCATGAAGCTGACAATCCAGTTAAGATCTTTCCTATGTTCTGATTCAGTTTAACTTAGTTAACCAATGCCCTTTACTCAACTACTTAGATTGCTTCTGATTTTCAATACTATAAACAGTGCTTCAGAGAACATTCTTAAAGGCATTCTTTGGACTCCTCACTCAATTTTCTTCTCTTGGATAAATTCCTAGAAGGGGAATTGCTGGAAGAAAGAGGATGTGCGTAAATAAAGGTGCTGGAATTCCCATCTAGATCTAACTCTGGCACCGAGGCTGTCAATAACTGTGCTGGTGATATCACTGAATTTGAAAACATATATACACACATGCATGGTAACCAGAGGTGCAGTCAAATGGCTCCTAGCTGTTTCAGATGTGTGGACTCTATGATTTTGACAATTAGCAGGTCAAGTTATGGAGTAAGAGGGCTTCCTTGGTAGCTCAGCTGGTAAAGAATCCGCCTGCAATGCAGGAGACCCTGGTTCAATCCCTAGGATGCGAAGTTCCCCTGGAGAAGGGACAGGTTACCTACTCCAGTATTCTTGGGTTTCCCTGGTGGCTCAGACGATAAAGAATCTGCCTGCAATGCGGGAGACCTGGATTCGATCCCTGGATTGGGAAGATGCCCTGGATGAGGGCATGGCAACCCACTCCAATATTTTTGCCTGGAGAATCCCCATGGACAGAGGAGCCCAGCGGGCTACAGTTCATGGGGTCACAAAGAGTCAGACATGACTGAGTGACTAAGCACATGGAGTAAGAGGATTAGAATCCTGGGTCTGCAAATTACCAGCTGTGTGATTTGTGGCTGTTTGTCAATACAGAAACATTAGTTCTCACTTTAAGGGTTAAGTAAATATTTATTGAGCTCCTACTTATCACTGACCTCCAAGCTAACTGACAGTCCAGTAGGGAAGGGAAATGTTAGTGAGCCATTACACAAATAAAAGATCACAAAGTATGTTCTGTGCTCTAAGTATGGGATGCTATAAGAATGAATAACAGGGAGACTTGATTTGTTTGGGCAGGGTTTGGGGGATGAGCTGAGACATGAAAAGTTGTGGAGGAGTTAATCAGGTCCAGGTGGGGAGAAAGGCTCCCTGTAGTAACAATTGATACAAAGCCTTTCGAAGTTGGTATGCAATTGTATGTCTTTTTTCTTTCCAGTCTCACAGACCTCTCACTTGTAGTTCCTTCTGGAAAGACCTCTTCTGAGATCTGATCATCCCATAGTTGGTTTCTCATCTAGCTTTTAGTTCACATGACGTGTCAGACGGTCCATTCTCGGGACCATCCTTCTAAAGGTTATCCTCCCATCCCCGTCCTTCGCCTTACTTTATTACCTTGCTGTAGCTTCTTCATAACACCTCCCACGGATCAGACGTTCATATTTATTTGTCGAACGTCTCTTCCTCCCCCCACCCCCTTACTTAAATCCAAAACTCCAGAGGGAAGGAATTAGTTTTGTTGCTGCAGATTTAAATGTTGAATTCTCAGCGCCTGGCGTACAATAGTTGCTCAATGCATGTTTGAAAGAAAACAAAAACGGCTTGCCGCAGGGTGCACCTGGCAAGAGCCACAAGCGGAGAAGCTGGGGGCGGGGCACAGACCCCCGCCCTGAGCTCCATTGCAAGCCTCACAAGCCCTGCACAGCCTGAGGGGGCGCGCCGGGGGCGAGGCCGCCCACCCGGAACCGGAGCGCCGCGGGAGCAGCGGTTTCCGGCAGCGGCGGACACTTCCCGCGGAGGGACCGCCCCGTGGCACCCGGCGGGCCGTGGCGGGCGGGGAGCCGCAGCGATGGACGACGACAGTCTGGACGAGTTCCGCCGGTGCTGGCAGGAGGAGCTGGCTCAGGCACAAGCGCTGAGGAAGCGGCGGCGGCCTGAGGCTGCCGAGCGGCGGCCACGGCGGCCCGAGGTGGTGTCCGGGCGCGGCGAGCAGCAGGCCTCGGGGTACCTGGCGCTGGCCCAGGGTCTTTTAGAGGGCGCGGGGCGGCCTCCGGCGGCGCGGGCGACCCGGGCCGAGAGGCAGGAGGCGGCGAGCCGTTCCCGCTCCCCTCCGGCCCGCGACGCTGCCGGGGGCGGAGAGCAGCTGGTGGACCAGCTCATCCGGGACCTGGTGAGTGGCTGTCGCCTCCCGCCGAGGCACGGGCTGGCCCCCGCCCCGATACAGACCGCCTAATGAGTTGAAAAGTGACTGTGTGCCACCGGTGGAGGGGTGGGGGTGGGAGTGGGGAAATGAAAAGAGGTGAGCTTCCCGGGCTACAGTCCACGGGGTCGCCAAGAGTAAGACACGACTTAGCGACTAAACAACACAGCCCTATGTTTGTGAATGCATTGAGTATCTTTGGAAGGTGTGGTTCCGAATGGGCGGCGATTTTGTCCCGGGTTTTGGTAGTGTTTGGAGACATTTTTGGATGCCACAACTGGGGCGGGGCAGTGTGGGGTGGCTGGTAGCTGCAAGTATCTCGTGGGTGCTGATGAACATTCTACAACGCACAGGACGGCACCCACAAAAAATTACCTGGTCCAAAATATAAGTACCAGATGGAGGAAATCCTGGTCTGGAAGGGCTCCTAAACTTGGGGGAGGCAAACCCACCATGCGTATAGGAAGGAATTTTAACTTTTCTCTCTATAGTGTTTGGACAATTAAGGTTTTTTTCTGACTGTGCATGTGTTACTTCAATTAAAACACACAAAAAAGAATATTTTGATAAGAACTTTCATGCTACTGATAGTGACCATTTTGTGGGACATGAATATCTTCCAGAATCTGGAGAAAGCCGGGGACTTTTTTTTTTTTTTTTAATCCTTCTCAGGAGATTGGCACAATCAAGATGACCAGAAACAGAGTCATGGTTAAGAGTTGGGGTAAGGCAGTGGGTTCAATGGCTTGATTTAAATTGGGCTCAAAGGCAGTATCTGTGGCTTCCCAGTTGGAAGTAATTATGTAATTGCCAAGCTGTTTGTAGAAGAAGTGGATTATTCAACATAATACATAGTTATATTCAAATAATATTAGTAGCTGTAAGTTTTCACAAAGTTTCTGGTTCTGTACTCTGCCTATCTCTAAAGTTAGAGATGACTTTTTTTTTTGGTGTATGTGTTTGTTAAACATTCTCATTTAACATGTCAATTCTTTATATGTCTGAAAGTTAATACTGGCATTATGCCTGCTTCTGTAAGAAGTGTTTGACCACTGAAGTCTGACAGATGTAAAAATTTAAAAAATTTTAATGCCTTGGTAAGGCTGCTTATCACCTGATAAGTTGCCCAGGCTAGGCCGGATCTACACAGAAGTTATTCTAACAGATATGTAGGCAAAGGCAAGACTAGTGCATGGGGGAGGGGGGGGCGGTATGAAGAGAAACAGGAATGGGGATTATTAGGACCAGTAATCCTCCCTACTGAATATGGCTTTGTCTTTAGGAGCCACAACAATTCTGGGAGGTAGGTATTGTTGGTCTCCTTTTACAAATGAGGAAATGCAGGTTTTCTGTAACTTGCTCAGGATTACCCATCTGACAAGTTCTTTGGATTGAATTTGGGTCCAGATCTGTTGGACTTTAAATTTCACCAGCTAGGAGTTCCTTAAACTTGACTTGTTACATCAGTTTGCAGAGGAGGGGCCCAGAAACCTGGTGATTGGAATAATCAGGTGGATTTGAGACATTGTTCTCCGCTGTACCGCCTCTTGGTTTGGGGTCCTGATGCTCGCTGGAGGCTTTCTAGACCTTACACTCCTGAGGCACAGGCGTCCATTCCAAAAACAGAGGAGCCCTCACTTAAGTGTCCTAAAAATGGAAGTAACTTGCCTTCTGGAGGATGCAGGGGACTTTAGAATCTCAGTCTCATCTGTATTTAAGAGAAAGCCAGCCCTGGAGGATATGCCCCTGATCCCTCTGCTCCCTTCGGAACTGCCACATTAGGTTCTACTCAGCTGTACACTACCATCAGCAGCATCCAACCTTTGGGGCATCGCTAGTGGTTTTCTTTTGTTTTCTGTACTTAGCAATCATCAGTAACACGGCTATAAATAAAAAACTAATAAAATCATCGTGTGCTTGCTTGTTGTCTCCTTGGTATTGTCAGGGTTTAGAAATGTGATTTCCAGTTCTCCCAGTGACCCTCTCCAGTGGCTAGCATTAGACCCATTTGGCAAATGAGGTTTAGGAAAGTAATTGACTTAAGGGACCCACCCAGTATCTTCAGTGAGAAAACCGATGGCAGCTTTTATAAAAAAGATCTGGATTTGTATTTCAGGGGTTATAAGTCCCAGAGCCCACAGAGAGCAGGCAGGAATACGAATGAGTGAAGTAGGCTGTTACTCATTTGATCCTTTTTTCCTAGTTCATCAGGTGTTTCTGTTGAGCACAGATTTCAGCCATACTTTTGTAATAATTTGTTTCATGACAACTACCGTTCTTCTTGTCACGTTAAATAGTAAACATCATAACGGTGTAGAAATTGTCCTCATGATATCGCTAAAGAAAAATACTTAACTGTTTTTCTTGGTGCACAGCCCTCCTCTTGGGCTTGTTTCCCCATTTTTTAAAAAGACAACCTCTGTATTGAATTGTACAAACCATAAATATACATCTGAATGTGTTTCTGAGAGTGTATATAGCCATGTAAGCGGCACCCAGGTTACAGAGCAGCATTACCAGCTTTTCAGAAGCTTTACTCGTGCCACTCCACCCGAGGGCAACCTCTCACCTAACTTCTAACACCTTAAATTTTATCTGATTTTTTAAAATTGTATCAGTAGAATCATACAGCATGCACTTTTGTGTCTGGGTTCTTGTGCATAGCATTATGTGTGAGATTTCTCCCTAGGAATATGCCACATCTTACTAATTCTACTGTTGATGGGCATTGCTGATAACTAGTTTGTTAATCACCAGTTTTGGGCTGTCTGGAAAAGTGCTGCTACGAACATTTTGTACATCTTCTGGAACACATGAACACGCTTGTTGGGTATCTGCTTAGGAGTAGAATGGCTGGGTTACAGGGTCGGCATGTGTTCGCCCTCAGGAGATATTGACCATTTTCCAAAGTAATTGTACTAACTTTTACTGTTCATAATAATTGGAATATGTGGAATATGGTGTTTCACTTTTTTCTTTGCCATAAATATATTCCCACCCACCTGAGATGACATGCAGCAATGAACTTGACCCTAACATGGATGAGATGATAGTGACAAATTGGGGAATGTATGCTATGGCTGGGCTAAATGTGGGAGTCTTGACCCATATTAGTTGGTTGTTGCTATGTAAGAATGTGGTCCAGGTGTTGTAGAGTCTTTACATTCCCCCCCCCCCCCCCCCCCCNATTGTGATTTGTGTTTTTATGTGGACTCTTATCAGTTTCTTTTTCATTTTTAAAATAATTTTTTTTTCATCTTTAAAATAATCTTATTTATTTATTTTGACTGTGCTGGGTCTTTGCTGTTGTGCGTGAGCTCCCTCTGGTTGCAGTGAGTGGAGGCCAGTCTTCATCGTGGCACGTGGGCCTCACTGTGGTGCCCCCTCGTTGCGGAGCACAGTCTCTGGGTGCACAAGCTTTAGTAGTTGCTCGCAGGCTCGGTAGTTAGGGTGCAGGGGCTTAGTTGCCCCGAGGCGTGTGGGGTCGTCCCAGTCGAATCTGTGTCCCCTGCCGCGGCAGGTGGATTCTTAACCACTTGGACCAGCAGGGAAGTCCAGCTCTTATCAAAGATTTTCCTCTACAACCTCCCCCCCCCCCCAATTTTGGCTTAAGACAACAAGAATTTATTTAGCTCAGTGTCTTTCAGGGTGGCAGTTTGGGCTGGGCATGGGTGGGTTCATGTACCTGTCTGAGGTTAGCTCCTGTCACTGAAGCAGCTCTGGCTGTGTTTGTGTGTGGCCTCATCATCCAGCAGGTTAACCCTGGGTGGACCTTATCAAAGTTATGAGAGTGGCAGGAGGGCAAGTCCTAACCCACAAATGCTTTTGAAGTCTGTGTGTTTGTCATTGTCTCATTGATCAGAGCAATTCATTTGGCCACATCCAGAATTGGAGCTACCCACATGCTTGAGTACAGAGAATCATGTACAAGTCGGGACTAGTTAATACAACCATCTGCCACAAGAACTCTTCCCTCCTCTAGTTCTCTGTAACACCTCTCCATGGGCTAGATCTGCTTTGGGCCATGAATTTGGGATCTGTGGGTGACTACTGAAAAGGAAGATTTAGTTCCATTTGGTATGCCTCTCCCCCCTCCCCCCCAAAAAAAACTCTTGACAGTTTGACCTGAGAAGGAAATAAAAAGTCATCACCACCTCCAAACATCCCCTCTCCCCTCTCCTCCCCATCTTTGGCACTCTGTTAACTGTCATGTCTTGGCTTTTTGGTGCAGTCTCTTTCACTTCAGTCTTTAGCATCAACACTGAAGCAAGAACAACTAGTAAGTTAGCAGTCAGGAGTGAAATTGCCTCTTAATGGGGTAGTGTTGTAGTGTTACACCATCGGGTACAGGTCAGACCTTTGATGAGCAAGCCCAGCTCAGATGAAAACTTAGAAATGATTGCTCTTGGGCCTTCTCTTACGAAGCTTTTGGTAACAGTGCTTGGAGACCATCTGTTTTAGGTGGTGAGTTAGGGACACCTAAATTGTCTTCTTGGTATATGGTTGAATTAGTGAAAGAAATGATACAGCCCTGGATAGAATTTTGGAGGCATGCCTTTTTTGTCTTTTTCCCCCTTTTCAGTAAACTCAGGGTTGCCGTAGGTAGTGGAGCCGCGTGAGTATAATCGCAAGCATATTGTTGCGTTCTTCACTGTGGTGGTCATGAAATTCAGTTGCTCAGTCTCATTTCTCTTTAGGTGGTATATCAGGACTCTGGGCAACAAGCAATCAGCACCCAACTCAAATTGGTTTAAAAAACCAAACTGGAATCTGTTGATTCACATAGTTGAGAATTACAGGTGGTAGTTCTTGTTCTGGGTGCTTTTATAATGTAACTAGAAATCTTTCCATCTCTCTCTCTTTCTCCTCCCCCACCCCAGTTTTATTGAGCTATAATTGATATCAGTCAGTTCAGTCTGTAAGTCGTGTCCTATTCTTTGCAACCCCATGGACTGCAACACACCAGGCTT